AGCCAGTGGCTTTTCCTTCCACGAGGGACGGCATCTTCATGCTTGCCGTTGCGCGGCGACGTCATTTTGTTGGGCAACTCACGGTACTGAACACGATTTTCTTTCGAGGCCAAGGACTAATCGTGACTCTGAATTTGGGGCCGGTGATGTAACGTGAACCTAATCGCCAGACTCGTCGATTGGTAGACTCCCTGCTCCCTCCGAGAAACAAAAGAAAAAAAAAATCAGTCGATACGGTTTCCATGGTGTAACCACGGACGCATACCATGAATTCACGACACATCAATGTACATGTATTCAATGTAAGAACTGCTGCTTAAATTTAGGCCCTGTTCCCGTCAGAATTAAAAAAATCTGTATTTTGGCTCACCATTTTGCCAAATGGATCTAAACACCATCCAATTTTTTTTGCTGAGGTCTATTTCGGATTCTACATTTGGGAGTCCATAGGCCAAAATTGAGCCCGTTTTATGCCTGGAAGTCTACGTTGCCCTCAGTACCCCCACCCTATCCGCTCGTTCCCTTCCTCCCCGTTCTCTTCCTCCCTGACGCACTTCAGCCGCCGCCGCTGCTCGCTCCCACCGCCACCACTGCCTCTGTCTCCGGCCGGATCCTCCTCCGAGCTCGCAGATCCTCCTCTGAGCTCGCGGGATCTACCGTCTCCTCCCGGTTCGCAGCTGCCCACATGGACGGGTACGGCGCCGACAGCTTCTACCATGGCGACAACGATGGCTACGGCAACGTCGACGGCACCAGGGAGTTCTTGTCCCAGCCACACCCCTCCATCGTCGGATATCCTGCCTGCAATCTGCAATCTACATGTATTAATGAGGGCAAATCTGTCATTAGTTGAGTTCCTATTCTGGATTTTGGGTGGAAGTAAACACCCTACTAAACTATTTTGCATTTTGGGTTTTGAGGGGGATTTTGATTATGGATTCTGGATTCTGCATTCCGGGGAGAACTAAACAGGGCCTTAGTAACAATAGTTGGAAAGAAAAAAACTATACTTCAATACATGCATGTGAACATGTGTCGGGACCATTCTTATTTTTCTAAAAAAACACTTTTAAATTTCGTCAAAGTTAAACTATATTTTAATTTTAATTTTAAGTAAACTTGTAGTAGAAAACAACATCAACAATTTATGGCGGTATCCCGTATCCACCGGGACCGGGTGTGTGTAAAAAGGAGAAAGTAAAGTAACCGTGGCAGAGGACACTGCAAACGTCCTTGGCCTCGCTACTGTAGCTTCATGTACAAGACCGTGCAGTTCTCGGGGGGAAAAAAGAGCTGCGTAAAAGATTTACTGTAGGGTCATGTCAAATGTCATCAAGTCAAGGAAGAAAAGAGCAAAAGTTAGCCAGCCAACGGTCGTCCGAACCGTCCGTCCGTATCCCGCGCGCCGGCCATCTCATCCGGGCCACAAGTTGCGGGCAGCACAATTCAGCCACGTCGCTCTCTCCAGCTCATCATTCTACCGACCGAGCCGAGCGGCCAGCGGGCCGAGTCGGCGCGCGCACGTAAACGAGCGGCCTCCGCTTCTGGTTCTGGTTTCTGGGGGCTCCATCGCTAGCTCTCAGCTCGTTCTAGTTTGCGCCAGACAAACGTTGCTTTCCGGCGGCCGATGCTGGCGAGTTCGCGCACGACAATTGTGTGTTTCTCTAAATGAGCATGCATGTGTGACCTAATCGCTGAATGAGTGGTCGGTTACGGTTAGGTTAGTCCAGAGGGGACTAGGGGAGAGCTTAGCGGAGGATTGCGACCGACCGAGCTCGTAAACAAAGCTATACGAAACGATTATTGATGTATGGGCGAGCATCGCTGCAACCACCGCCAGGGCGAAGATTTGGAGCTCGCTAATCTTTTGTTTCCCCTTCTTCTGCTGGTTTCTTCTTCTTTTTTGATCTGAGATGATGATGAGCTATGACTAAACAAAATAATCTCGTCGAGTATTCAATGATGCTAGCGGCTCGTGAGAAGGAATGTCGTCGTGCATTAATGAATGATGAATGCCCTATTTGCTGGGCTGCCATGATTGAAAATACTATTGGCTGATTTATTATGAGAGAAAAATACTGTTTGTTGGCTGAAAAAACACGGCTTATAAGCCAAGCTAACGGAACGAAAGTCGCGAGGCTGATGGGGCCGGCCGGCGTCGTCACTCCTCTCTTCTCCTTGTTCGACCACGCAACGCAGCTATCTGAATTTATGCGGAATCACCCATCGCGGTTTGATGCACAAGGAAAGGAGCTAGCCTCGTCGGCACAGCACAGCCTGTGCTGTGACATCATACGATATACAGTGACATGATACGGCACGTCGTCCTTATCCGGATACTGCGAATCATGGAGCATGTGCGGACAACTCGGCGCTGCCTCGCTTCCCCGGCCCCTCTCCAGTACTCCGGTAGTCTCGTCTCGTCCTCTCATCCCTCTCTTTCCACCAGGTTCAGAAGAAATTTCACAGTTCGGCCGGCGCTGCCGCGCTACTCCTAGCAGTCAAAAGTGACGACACTGGTAGACCAACCGCACACTCGTGGTAAAAGGACAGCAAGTTGTGATGAAAACGAAGCGTGGCACTGATCGCCGGGCTTTATAGACTAAGTCACGACGTCGTGAAAATGGACAGCAAGCTGCGATGAAAAAAATTTGAAAATATAGTCAAATTTAAGTCATTCTTGAAGAATTTTTATTAATAAACCAAACCACGATGAAAGAAGTGATATTTTATATAAATTTTTAAATAAGACAAGTGGTCAAACTTAATGTCAAAAAAATCAAACGTCTTATAATTTAGAATGAATTGAGTACAACTTATAGGCCAAACAAGCCCGAGCGAAAAGGGGACTGATCTTACCGGTGGACTCCACCGACGACATGGACCTTTCGGCGGGGAGGTGCTGCGCACAAACGGTAGTACGGTACAACCCGACTGGACTGGGCGCACCACCGCGCATGCGTGATGCAGCATCGCTCGAGTGGTCGTGTCCGTGGACGGGATCATTCCTCCACCACCACCGTACCACTCCACCAGCGCGCGCCGTTTTTCCAAAGCTTCGCGGCGCGGGCGGCGGCCGCGCTGCTATCGAGCACAAGTACGTGCTGGCCGGCCGGGCTGGTTCCGTGGGAAATCTGGATTCTGGAGGAGCGTACGTGAGCCGCCCAGGGCTCGGACCACACACGCGCGTTGGAATTGAAAATCCCAAAGGAGCACACGTACCCATCCAGACAATAGTTCCTCCCTTGACGTTTGCACGCCCCCTTTGCCTCTCGAACCCTCTCACTCTTTGGCGGCTTCTTCACGAGGCACGCGAGTCACGACGCAAACCATTGCGTGCCATGAGGTGTGAGGCTGAGGTTTCTCTCAGTGTGCGTTTGATGCAGTGACTCAAGTTTAAGAGGTGTCTTATCGGATGTCATATGAGGTGTTGTATGATGATGTTTTCGGATACTGATAAAAAAATAAATTACATAATCCGTCAGTAATTCATGAGATAAATTTATCAAGCCTAATTAATCCGCCATCAGCACATGTTACTGTAGCACCATATTGTCAAATCATGGACTAATTAGGCTTAAAAATTTGCCTCGCAAATTAATCTCAATCTATGTATTTAGTTTCGTAATTAGTCTTTATTTAATACTCCGAGTATGTGTTAAACATCTGACGGGATATCGACTAAAGTTTATGAGGTGGAACCAAACACCCCATTGTTTACTTCGGTGACGTGTAAATCCTGAGAGTAAAGTTTAGGATGTCACATCGGTGTGTGTCACATGACAGTGTTTGGATAGTAATAATAAAATAAATTATAAAAGTCCTCAGTAATTCACGAGACGAATTTATTAAGCCTAATTAATCCGTCATTAGCACATATTTATTGTAGCACCACATTGTAAAAGCATAGACTAATTAAGCTTAAAAATTTTGTCTCGTAAATTGATTATAATTTATGTAATTAGTTATTTTTAATCTATATTTTATACTCTATGAGTAAACAGTTGATGGTGATTGATTGATTCCCGTGCAGTCATGCAGTGGTTTCCGAGCTGACATCTGTATCCAAGAATGGTGTCAAATCGTGGGCCGCATGCCGCAGCTTAAAAATCAGAATTCTTTTACGGCAATGAATCCTTTTTTTATCCTTCTGTCCCGTCCCTTAGGGCCCAGACGAGACGGCCCATAAAATCCTGTTGGATAGTGGATCTGCTACTGTTACCTTACGGGCCGAATTCCAATGGGCTGCTCTGCACAAGACAACGCCGCCTTTGCTGTTGCCCGCCCCTGACCGGCGCAGCGGCGATCCTTCGCCGGTTCGTCCTCTCCCCTAGCCACTCGGGTCACGACCACGAGCTACGCACCGCCGCCGGTAGGTGCGCTCTCCTGTCTCCTCGTCTTCCTGAGTTCCCTCGTGTGCTCGCGCGTTGTTCAACTAGTTTTTTTTTTCCTTGTTAACCGCTTGACTGTGAGTCTGTGACGTCGTGGTTAGGGTTCCGGAGCCAATGTATGCCGAGGTGGCCGATGGCGTCGTGGTTAGGGTTCAGGAGCCGATATATGCCGAGGCGGCCGACGCCTGCTCGAAATGCACTGCATCGAATTAGTGCCTAGCGCGGTAACTGTAGTAGCTGCTAGCCACACATTGCGTCCATTTTCTCCATGGCTGTTGAAATACGTAATTTGCAGTGGTGGCCTTGTGGCGAACTGCGAATCAAGTGCCTTCCGCTGAATCGTCCTTATGGTGATATCATATCCCAATTGATGATGTGCGTATACATAGAAGTATAAACCCCTTTATGAACCCTAGAGAACTTCAATTTTCGTGAAATTGGGATAACCATTCTGAATAGACCCTCAGGTACACCGTAAATAACATATATTTTTCCACCAGCAATTTTTTGTGCTTTACATTCGACATCTAACTCTGTGCACGCAACTTAGTAGGTAACTTACAATCACAAGATGGCAAGATAACATCTTCATCGATGCATGGATTGTTGTCATTGCATCTCCCGCTGGTTCCACTCGAGTATCGCTGAACGAAGGGCCCTGTTCGGCACAAGAAGGCTGTGCTCAAGCTTGAGGTTTGTCATAGGTGATGTGCTATGTCCACTATCAAGCCAGCCTCTAATAGCTTCACCCTCATAAGTGAATCCATCTGCGGCAATGTAAGGATCGTTCATGGTCTCCTGGCCACCATCACATTACAGCTGGTAAGTTTAGCCATTTCGTCTTAAGTGTTATGTGGCAATGACAATTCCTTATATTTAAAAGGTCATCCATTGAAAGCATCAAAATTGACACCGCAACTGTGCAATGTTTCCAATTCAGTGTATTTAATTGTTAATCTTTTGCTTCCTTTTTAATAGTTTAATTAGCTAGCACTAAAACTAGTATGTGCTATAGGATGACTAAAGTATTTTTCATGGACCATATGGTCAACAGATCATGCATTTGATACTTGGTGAGATTGGATATCAGTTGAAGATATGTTATGCCTATTGTTTACCTGCAAGATTGGACATATGAAGTATGATGGGATACAAGTGTCATCTGATAGAGTTGTGCATGACAGTGGCCGTGCTGTCATTAAAGCTGCCTTCATTAGGGGCTCAACCACTTTCCACACATCCACTGTTAGATTTGGCCTTCGCCTCCTACTTAACTCAGCACATCTCAAGGCAATATGCGCAAGTTGGTTAGCTTGTATGAAAGGCCAACTTCCAGCAGTAGTATCAATGATGGAATGCAGGTTTTCTTTCTCAATGGCATCTTTCACTATTTCGGCAATCCTTTGAGGTTGTTTCCCTGTCAATAGACGCATGATGATAATGCCAAGGGAGTACACATCAGATAGTGGTGTGAGTTCACCAGTGGTCAGAAGTTCAGGATCCATATAAGAGAAGGTTCCTCTTGGCCTCTTGGGTTTGTTGTTCGGTAAAGAGTTGTGCTGCAGGTGTTTGTCTGTATCAACAATCGAGAAATTCCAAAATCTCCTAATTTGCTGGAATAATTGGCATCAAGAAGAATGTTGTGTGGCTTTAGGTCACCGTGAACCACAGGGTGAGGTTTGTTTTAATGAAGGAAAATGAGAGCAGAACACATCTCTCCAATTATTCGAGTGCGGGTCTGCCATGTGAGTCGTGGCGTGTTGTTCTTGCATGCTAAGCAATCTTCAAGGCTTCCATTTGGAAAGAACTCATATACTAGACCAAAAGCTTCTGGGCATGTACCAATCAGCGTGACAAGGTTTGGATGCCTTACTGTGCTGAGAACAGAAGCCTGCAAGGATTCAGTTAGAAGATTATCATACCAATGCAAGTCACACTTCCTTGTAACAGAAAATGTAGTTTTCATACAAAAAAAATGATTACTTACCTCTTGATGGAATTCTGATTGCCCCTGCATGCTTTCTGGATGTAGCAACTTTATAGCTACTGTTGTATTGTGGAGGAAACCTTTATAGACACTTCCAAAACCACCTTCACCAACCTTGAGCATTGGATCGAAGTCTTGTGTTGCTTGCTGCAGCTCAATAAGAGAGAACTTGGTGTTTAGTGCTTCAGATGGTGCAAAAACTCCCTGCCGATTCTTTTCATGTAGTTCAGCGGCTTCCCTTATGGCAACATCTCTTTCCTGTTGTATCCTGTCACAATCTGCTTGGAGCGCTTCCAGTTGGTGTTTGTTTCTTGCTAGCTTATCTTCATTATCTTTAACATAAAGCTCGATCTCACTTATTCGTTGTTCTAGTGTGACCTTCTGCTCATTTGCATTGTATAGCGCAGCATATGCTTCTTCTTGCTGTCTTCTCATTACATCAATTTCCTGCCTCTGTCTTTCATGTGTTTCCTTGAGTGCCTTCTGCTGCCTTAATTCATTCATATAAGATTTTTCCAATTCTTTGGTCTGCAAGAATACATATGATTTTATTAATAAACAAGCATTCAATCTGGATTCTGGACTAGCATAGTGAATGAGCAAAGCCTGCACCTTTTGAAGAGCTGATTGCAGTTTTCTTTCAGCATTTCACCGTTTATTGCATTCTTCTTGCACTTCTTTTTTCAAAAGCTGTATTTCAGTGAGAGTTTCCTTAAGTTTATCCTGGGCCATTAAATTTGATGTATCAGAACCTATATGCCATTTAGGACTATGAGATAACCCCCCACTTTATATCTCAATAGTAGCACACAGTACATACCAGGTCATGTGGTGTTGGTGAAATATGGTCGTATGAGTTGTCAGTTGAAAGATGCATATTTGATCCAACTTCACTTAGGTCATCGTCATCAACCACTGCTGTTCTAGAGATACTGGATGTCCCATACTCCCGTCATTTGGTGAAGAACTGGGATCAGAGTTCTGCGATCTGCCTGAGTCAACAGAGAAGTCCTCTAAACTCCATGGTCTCCTTGGCTTGCCATTGAAAGTGGACTCAACATCTTCAAATGATTGAAGCAGTGTATCACCAGTTTTTTCGGATAGAGAGCAAGGTACATCTGTTCTTGATCCTCCCATATCGTTCGTGATACTTACATTTGAGCCTGACGCTTTGTTGTTTGAATCGTGGATCATCATTGATCTCATTTGGCTAGAAATGTTGAATACTGGTAGTGGTGCTGTGTTTTGTGATGATGGTACTGCAGGTGCGTCTGCATTGCTGCCCCTGTCAAATTGACAGTTAACAATAACAACGAGGTACTATACTTGTCTGAAACAGAGAGTTGATAGCACACTGTAATATGCTGATGTAGATTAATGATGAATCACTATATATATCCTAAACGGCTAGACATAGATAGATAGCGCAAGAGAGAAAAGAGTAACTTAATTTAGGTGGCTTACTACCAACCCATCTCAACCTTACCTGATAACAATTAGAGATCCTTTGCAAGTAAACCATATCTTGCATGGCGAATCTGCTCTCTCCATTATCTTCAGTGCTGTATTGGACGTTGGTGCTTTCATTGTCCTAGGATTAGATAACATTTGTTAGGTTGGAAATTAAAGGAACAATCTCTTAGCGAACCTTTTCTTATTCTTTGCACTCAAAGTTCATAAGATGGGTTTTTTGAAACAAATGGGAACCTGCACATCAGTTTTCAGCTTTCGTATCTATAGAACTTTTGGAGTACTTTAAATGCTAGATTTTAAACTATGAGCTATCAGGGAACTGCCTGCCCATCCACATTTCTATAGTTGACAAATCGTTCTTTACTAGATGGCTACTCTTGCAGTTTTGGTTACTCAACTGCTATATTTTAAGAAGCTTATATCATAATTTGGATAAACATCATACCGGGATCCTTTAATGGCTAGAGGCATCTATTGTGGACAAATGGCAGATGCTAGAACTGATGGAACTAGAAATTTGAGACACTATAGATGTTTGAGCCTTACTTTGAATATTTTTTATCTGATGCGGCTCCGACGACAAGCTTTTTGATCCCATGTAAAGAAATAAGCTCGATGACCCCATTAGCTATGTCATCATTTTGAATAGCTACTATGTCGCAATTAACCTGGTACATGAAAATTTTGATGAGCATTATGCAATATTGGGATACATGTTCCTCAGCTCTTAAGATTCCATTCCGGTTCTTGTTCTCAAAAGAAAAAAAAAAGAATTTAGATTCAATTAGCAATGACAAATAAGAGAACGTAAACAAACACCTTCAATCGCCTGCATATCAAAACATATTTGTTTAGTTTTTTCTCCATCTTTTCTCTCTCATGCTGCCTGTATGCACGGAGTTCTTGTGGTCTCATTGTGCTGTAATGAACACTTTCCCCTAGCCCCACTGTAAATAAAAACATTAAATATGTTTAAGCGGGAAATATATGAAATATTGCAATAATAATAGACTATGAAAGTTCTATCTACCATGAAAAAAAGTTTTAGTGTAGGGAGGTGTTTTTTTGAGTTGAAGGTGTTTTGGCGTTTCATAGAGTAGGAAGGAAGTATTTACAGGGCAAGAAGCACAAGACGAATTAAGGCACTTTCAAAACAAGATGTAGAAGTCGCCGTTTACTTTCAGGCAGAGAAAGGGCGACGTTCCTGGTTCAGATACTTGCTGGTTATCATTTGTGCAGGAACGTGGACGTGAGCAATGACAATCCGGGACCTGGAGGCGTCCCTGGCCAAGTTCTGCAGCGCCCACAGCAAGTTGCTCTTGCCGTGCTTGAGTTCTTCGGGGACAGCAACGAAAATCTTGTCCTCGACAGCGACCGGCTGGCTCTCCGCCGCCTCGCCGGTGTTGCACGCAAATCTGCTCGCCGCTGTTCTGGAGCTGTGCTGATGTGCGCTCTCCGGTGTCGTCTGTCCCCTCCCGATCCCGGCGTTCTCCATTTCGGAGCTTGCTGCTTCTGAGCAGGAAAGGTTTGCAGTCACGCGGTGCGCTGCATGGATTATAATGCTGCTCTCCTACAGGATCCGAAATTAAATTCTCTGCGAAGACTCGAACGTTACAAACAAAGGCGAGGTTGTGGCATCACTAAAAAACTGCTGTCGGATATTCGTGGCCTTTGGTTTGGTACACTCGTCTTCTGGCTGCGAAGTGAAACTGGGAACGTGCATAGACGAAGTATCGTCTGTTGGTACACTCTTCTAGAGGTCGTCGTCTAACACGATTGTTTCGATGCATCGATGTAAAAATGCTCAGCATATTCTGAGGCTGCATTTGCTCCGGCTGCCGCTTCCTCTGCACCAACTCGGCAACAGAAGCACTTTTTATATATCTTGAACAATCACGAGATTCTTCGTCGTGTTTTTTCTTTATTATCAGGTCTGCCTGAAATTCATCTAAAAAGGAGGCCTGCCTGACATGGAACCGGTAGCAAGAGGCATGAGCCTTGCCTAGGCCCATTTCTCTTGCTAGGCCGGCCCAGATCTCAACTCAAGCCCATGCTGGATGTGAGGCCCAGTCGTCCCTTGCATGGACCAACATCCTGTCCGTGCCGTGGCCCACAGAACCGTTCCGTTCAGTCAACACAATGGCCGCCGGCGGCGGCAGTTTTGCATGCTCCCGTTCACGTGACACAGCGTACCCACCCTCACCGACATGGTGGACCCGGACGCCCCGTGCCCCACGCGTCATGCACTGGAAGCTAGCAAAGGCCCGGCCTCCGGGCTCCTCGGCGTGGGAGACTGCGACCCGGCAAATCGGCAATAGGGCCTCGATCGTAAGTTTTTTTTCGGCAAATTGTAAATTACGATATGAATCTTTTGAGCCTAGTTAGACTATGATTAAATAATAATAGTCAAATACAAATAAAATTACTACAGTGCCATTTCTAACCCCAATATAAATCAGACGACCCAATCACCAATGGCAACGCGCCGGCGGCTCGGCAGCGTCGAACAATTCGGGCGGTCGCGCGATTCCAAGCAGCTGCCGTGACCGCGCGCGCGCGAGACTACCTCCTCATCCCCACCAAACCTGCCAGCAAACTGCAAACCTACCCCCGGTCGCCGGCCTCGGGTCTCCGCCCAGACTACAAATGGAGCTCCGCACCTGCGCGGCCCGCAGTTCTGCGTCCCCCTCGTCTGGCCGCGGCGCGGTGCCATCCCCACGCCTCCTCTCCCGTCACGTGAGTTACTTTGCTCAAGATCATGGGGTTTTGGCTGCACGCGGCCGCCCCAATATCGTCTGCTCGGCCGGCCGGTTCTGACGCGACAGCGTTAATCCTGCAGATTTGGAGCCGATCGGCACACTGCACTGCCTCCACCCCATCAAACCCTGTTGCTAGAAGGAGCCGGTTCTCCACTCTGTCTCTGATGACGACTGCGTACAAGTATGATGCGACATTTTTTTGTGTACCTTTTGCTTTGGGATGATGCACTAGGCCTAATATTAACTAGCAAAAAGGACTGAATAATATTTTAGTTTTGCAATGGTGATACAATTGGAAATTTGCCGCTGAAAACGTTTGCCCCCTGGTTATGACTGCCACTGAGTGAATGACACGCTGGTTATGGGTCCAGTACTCCAGTGGTAAATTTGAGAATCCCAACATTTACGGTTGCAATGTTAAGGGGGGATCCATTCATGATGTATCAGTACTACGCTAAATTACATAAGGTAAAACTAGGTGGGAAAAACAGAGTTCTGCGGAACATGTGGTTTACAATCCATTTTCTATGATGAGGTACACAAATTGTCAGCATAGATCATAAGCATGTTAGGCTTATTAAGGAAAGAAATGAAGAATCAACTTAGTGACTAGAAGTTGTTATAGTACTCAGTATTCACAAACTCGCAGTTACAAACAGCTGCAATACCTATTATCCCGTTGATGTTTCAGCTTCATTGTGGGTTCATTTGTTCATGGGAGTTGCATGTTTCAGCACAGGGCCCCCGGACCTAGTTGATTTCAATTGGGATGCTCTTGGGTTTCAACTGGTCCCAACAGACTTCATGTATTTAATGAGCTGTTCTTCAGATGGGGTGTTCACGAATGGTAAATTGGTGCCATATGGGCCAATTGAGCTGAATCCAGCAGCCGCAGTTCTGAATTATGGTCAGGTTTGACAACTCTGCATATCAGTTCAAGAACCATGGTCCTTTTTCAACATTATGTTGATATGCTCTAATACGCTTATAAAACTTCCACAGGGATTGCTTGAAGGTCTACGAGCACATAGAAAAGAGGATGGATCAATCCTTCTTTTCCGTCCACATGAAAATGCACTGCGGATGAAAATTGGTGCAGAACGGTTATGCATGCCTGCACCAAGTGTAGAGCAATTCCTAGAAGCTGTGAAGCTAACTGTTATGGCAAACAAGCATTGGGTGAGGACGCTGGACATCTCTTGTTGAATAACTATATGTGATGCATCTCTCATGTCTCACCCACATCATGTTCTCCATTATAGGTGCCTCCTTTTGGTAAAGGTTCTTTGTATATCAGACCACAGCTAATTGGAAGTGGGGCTATCCTTGGTGTGGCACCTGCCCCACAGTACACATTTGTTGTGTTTGTTTGCCCAGTTGGGCATTATTTCAAGGTCGTTATCTTACCTTGTTTCTTTTCTGCTCACAATTGGTGTTGTATTTTACTAGATCTGTAAGAACTGTCTTGTTTAATTTCAGGATGGTCTATCTCCAATCAGCTTGTTAACTGAGGAAGAATACCACCGTGCTGCACCTGGTGGAACTGGTGATATAAAGACTATTGGGAACTATGCTTCGGTAATTCACAACTGTGATTTTTCAAAGCATTCTCCTGGTTCCTCATTTTACTTTAATTTCAGTACCCTATAACAGGGTTAAGAAAACCATAAAGAAATCTGATAATGAACATCATCCCGTCAGGTTGCTGTGTTTTGAATCTGAAACACATTTGGAATTTTAAAATATTTTTTCAGCCCGTTTAAATCCACTTTTTTTTCTATAAACTTGAACCTAGAGCCAGTTCAAGAACGCTGTCCTAGATGACACGTTTGGGTTTTGGTTTTCTATGGCCTTGTTTGGTAGGGCTCCTCCGGAGGAGTTGGAGCCATTTTGGGTTGTGGCTCCTCCAAAACGGCTCCGGCTCCTTCTTTTTCCCTGAAAAGTGGCTCCTCCTACTAAACCGTTTGGTAGGGCTCCTCCGCAGAGAGTCGGAGCCGGAGCTGGAGAGGATACCAACGGGGCCTACATATGATTTGGCTTTCCACTATTTGTCCTATTTATTTAGAATTCAAGGGCCTAGCCCCTGCCTTAGCATTAACCAAGACAAAATGTAACCATTACAGCGTTCAGGTGGATCACACCTTTCCACACAGTTCAGCTAACTCAAACAAAACATTTCAAAAAGGAGTCTGAACAGATATAGCAAAGAAACAAAACGAAGCTAACACCACACTCAAGACTCTGAGCTCAGCCCTCCAGCCCAGGTGAGACACCCTCCACCAACAGGCTAAACCAAGGCTTCTTGTTTGTCATCACGTCAGTCTCCAGCTTATCTGACAGTCTGGTTTTCAGCTCTTCTGGGACTTCTTTGGTCGTCCAGTTAACTGCTTCTTGAAACAACAGTTTATCCCATTCATCTTCAACTTGGTCTAGCCAATCAACCTTGTTGGTCTTGTAGCCAAGCATTTTAGCTCCTCCAGCCTCGCAGTGAACTCTGTTTTCTTCACTTGTGGACATAGCAGAGCCCAGCCTTGCACCATAACTGCTATATTCATGAGAACAGACCTCATATCTCTCCAAGCCATACCCTGAAAACAAATCTTATTTATGTTTGCCTCAACCCTCAATTCATATCATGTTAGTGCTGTGTTGTTTAATGCAACCTTCTTGACATTAATTTAGTTTCTCTTGTGTACTTAAATGTATTACTTGGTTTCTCTAGTTATAGATACACCTATAACAAGTAAACTAGTGTAATGCAGTCTTTAGTCTTGAAAAACATTAGCACATTTATGTGCGGTTCTTGATAAGTTGATGTACTTGTACAGGTTGTCAGTGCTCAGAGAAGAGCCAAGGAGAAAGGCCATTCTGATGTTCTATACTTAGATCCAGTCCATAATAAGTTTGTTGAGGAAGTTTCTTCTTGTAATATCTTTATGGTGAAGGTATGTATGTTAAACTTTGTTTAGGTTGCTCATCTTTGCAGCTGCATTTAGGACAATGAAGGCATAAAGCAAATTCAATCACATCGTAAAATTTTGGAGGGAGTTTAATTGTGGAGTCTTAACAATGAAGCTGCCGACATGTACAACAATGATGTGACTAGTGTTCGAACAAATGATGGTAACACAGATTACTTCTCGATTAAAATAGGACTTCATCAAGGGTCAGTCTTGAGCCCGTATCTCTTTGCCTTGTTTTCATTGACTTGGAGAAGGCTTATGACAAGATACCAAGAAATGTTATGTGGTGGGCTTTGGACAAACATAAAGTCCCATCAAAGTACGTGACCCTCATCAAGGACATGTACAACAATGCTGTGACTAGTGTTCGAACAAATGATGATAACACAAATTACTTCCCGATTACAATAGGACTTCATCAAGGGTCAGTCTTGAGCCCGTATCTCTTTGCCTTGGTAATGGATGAGGTTACCAGGAACATTCAAGGGGGTATCCCTTGGTGTATGTTGTTCGCTGATGATGTAGTGTTAGTGGATGAAAGCCAGGCGGGAGTAAATAGGAAACTAGAGTTGTGGCGGCAGACCCTTGAGTCTAAAGGTTTTAGATTAAGCAGAACTAAAACCGAATACATGAGATGTGACTTTGACGAAGCTGCATAGGAGGAGGGAGATGTGAGTTTGAATGGTCAAGTAGTGCCTAAGAAGGATACCTTTCGTTATCTAGGATCGATGCTACAGAGGGATTGAGATATTGATGTGGACGTTAGCCATAGAATCAAATCTGGGTAGATCAAGTGGCGACATGCTTTTGGCATTCTTTGTGACAAGAGGGTGCCACAAAAGTTAAAAGGCAAGTTTTATAGAACGGCTATGTTGTATGGAGCAGAATGTTGGTCTACAAAGATTCGACATGTTCAACAACTAAGTGTTGCAGAAATGCGTATGTTGCGATGGATTTGTGGTCACACAAGAATAGACTGAGTTAGGAACAATGATATACGTGACCGCCTAGGGGTAGCACCAATTGAAGAAAAACTTGTCTAACATCGGTTGAGGTGATTTGGCCATGTCCAAAGGAGACCTTCAGAGACACCAGTGCATCGTGGAGTCCTAAGCCAAGCTAATAATATGAGGAGAGGTAGAGGTAGACCGAAATTGATATAGGGGAGGCAATAAAAAGATATTTGAAAGTCTAGGATATACCTAGGGATCTATGTTTGAATAGGAGTGCTTGGAAAACAGCTATTGAAGTGGCTCAACCGTGACTAGGGGCTCTTGGTGGGTTTCAACTGTAGCCTACCCCAACTTGCTTGGGACTGATAGGCTTTGTTGTTGTTGTTGTTATTGTTAACAATGAAGCTGCCACTTGATTCTAAGTCTATCTGTGTAATCTACTAGTCACATCTTTGACAATGATACATTGATCATTTTGGTGGTGTTCTGTGAGCAAACTGGAAAACGTCCTATGCATACTATCCTCAACAGTTAGCACTCTATTAAGATGTCTACAATTATTAAATAAATTAGCCATCAAGTTCAGAATTTCTACAAAATGCATAGATGGTATTAGAGCTGTCATCGCTTTTTCCTGGCAGGACAATGTTATTTCTACCCCACTGTTAACGGGAACAATTCTTCCTGGAATCACAAGGAGAAGTGTGATTGAAATTTCTCAAAATCTTGGATTTCAGGTAACACAACAGGCATAGGCATCCTTCTGCTCATGCTGAATTTGTATTGATGTCATTTGACATGTAAAAGTCTTTTCCTTTTTCTCTCACTGTCTGTTACAAATATTTTTCAGGTTGAGGAGCGTCTTATCACAATAGATGAACTGCTTGGGGCTGATGAAGTCTTTTGTACAGGAACAGCTGTTGTACTGTCACCTGTTGGTAGCATCACTTACCGTGGAAGAAGGAAAGTACTTCAGCCAAACTACTTGTTTTTCAGTAGTTGTGCTATTTGAGTGTGTGAGGAAATGCTGACCCTCCACTTAAGTACTAGTCTGAGTTATAAGTGCCTACATACAAGCAGCATTTGACGAGACACGAGCATTATGAACCTTCATTTTCACTAAATAGTTGGTACAGACATATGTGTTCCAATTATCTGACCACTACGATTATCGTTGATTCATTTTCATATAAAAAACACGGTTGCTAGCCTAATTCGACACTAAAGAAAAAGAAATGTGCTCCTCAATTCGATCAAATAATTGTTGCGCTTTCATGAAACCTGAAACCAATAAATGCTCATTGTCTATTGATTCCCTGTCCATTGCAGAGTGGAGTATGGGAAGAACAAGGAGGCCGGAGTCGTGTCTCAGCAACTCTATTCCGCATTCACAGCTATCCAGAAAGGTCTCACGGAGGACAGCATGGGATGGACGTTGCAGCTAACTTAGCAGCTTCTTATATATCACATGATTGAGCTCTACAACTCTTATTTCCGTTTCGTCAACAAGTCTCAATTCTATCAACAGCCATTTGTCGTGCAGCGCGCGCGCACATCATATAATTATTACTCTGGGATCAGAGGTATTGGCCACACCGTTAGTGTGTAAATAAAGTGGATCTATCTTACCTGTGTGGCCGTGTCCCAAACCATATTCCTTGCCATAAACACTGTGTACACATGTGGCTCTCTGATGTAGTGATGTGTAAATTATTGACACATTTGGATTGCTGGGCATAGGCAGGGCTACGGGGCGTGTATTCAGGATCGTGCCTGGTTACATTTTGTCAGGTTGCAAGTTGCAACACGGCAGAAATGTCTACAGGTGGCAGAACAGTGAACAGAGAGCCCTGGACTTCACTTGTACGTACACCTGGGGCCATCTGGACTCTAAAGTACAACCACAGGAGCGAGCATCATCAGCGCGTGATGACGCGCATTGTCAATTCATCAAGAACCTTAATCGGCAGCTCCATTATGTCACCATGAACAACAGGTCAGAGGCGGCCAAGCCCTAGCAGCTTACCCTGTTCGTTTGAGCTTATTCAGAACTACTTTTCAACTATGGAACATTATTTTCATTTCACAATATTTCAGCATAAACATTAGCATAAACTAAATTTCAGCATCATCGAACAAAGTGCTAATTTATTTCTCTTGTGCGTTTCCTCTTCTTCTTTTCTTTTCTTTTTTTTTTTTTTTTTGCGAATGGTCTCTTGTGCGTTTCCTGGACAAACCACCACCTGTCGAATTGTTGGCGAGGACGCATCACGCCATGAGAGCAAAGCTTAGCTTGCTTACCTGCAACTGTTTCTGACCTGTGAAAGGAGATTAGCAGTTGCATGGAGATTGGACTAGCTAGTGCGACATCAACATCTTAACAACCAGTTCTTCTTCTTCCAAGCACGGAAGGCGACAGTTCCATCTGTGCTACTACCATGGAAGTATTCGCTTCCAAATTAAGCTGAGGAGCCGTGTCCTGTGTAGCCGGTTGTGGCGGTGAGGTTTTTCACTGCAACCTTCTCCCCAGACAGGCATCATGATCAGCTGGATTAATTCATCCTTATTTTATCCTTGACGACACGTTGGAGCAAGTAAGAATCTTCTGACAAGCAAACAAGAACAACGTCAGTGGTTCAGAGATGTGTCCGGTAAAATAATACACGGTGGCTACTGACTACTAGCACTAAAAAGCGGATCGGTGACGATCGATGCATGAAGCAATAGAGTTTTCTGGGTAGTTGGTGGCGAGCAAAAAACAAGGGTGATGTGCATCGCCTACCTAGATCGACGCACAGCCGTCGGCGTCGTTTCCATGGAATCACATCTATCAATGCAACATGACAGACGTGGCTGGCTATGTAATGTAATCTATCCCGGCCGAATTTGCCGCTCGTATGGCGCTGCCGGCAGCGGCGAGAGGGAACAGGCGACGTGACGTGGTAGTGGTACGTGGACGCGGCTTATTACACTGTCCAGAAGCTCACGAATCATATATGGCGTATGTATCCCTATCATAGCCGGTAGAATATCTTAATTAGCTTTATTTATCAGGCTATTTCCTTCACCATATATATTCGTATGCATGCATATTTATCCTTTTCTGTTTTGTTATTTATTCAGGTCTGATTGTCTGATTCTCAAACGACTTACATACGACACATCAACTTGCAGCAGCTGAAACTAGCCCTTCACCAAGCGTGTGGACGTTACTACTTACTACTACCACATAAATCATCACCAATTCTAAAATCCATTCATGTGGAAAGTATTGCGCGCGCCACTCATGCATCGCTGACTAAATCCAATCGCAAAATTATGAAAGCGAACTACGCGGTTGAGAAAGGGGCCGGGAGGTTGAAGTGTCACCAGGGGCGAAGCCAGAATAAATGGTCACCGGGGTCAGAGTCGGTACTCAGCTACTCATATAAGTAGTTTATAGGTTGCAACAATATAATATACTAATCGATTGTCCGGCTTCAACAACATCTTTTCGTAGCCGTTATGAAAACTATTATCCTTGTTGCCTACATGGTCTCTAAACCTATCTAAACCTATAAGATATTCCAGCCATCTACTACAAATGCATCATTCCCACCTTGTCCCTTATTGCAATATCTGAACAAGTAACAATATAAACAAAAATATCTATCCACGTTTTCACTATACTCTAGGCAATCATATTTAGTGAACTATTCATATTGAAGTATCTTCATCATTATTCTCATTATCAGTTGTTGTGGGTAATTTTGTTTTACAGAATCTTTCCAACGTGTTTTGATTACCTATGAAATTAGTCACATAATAAAAATTAAAGCAGATAGATACTAAATTACTAATGTGCAAGTAGCCTACTATTAAAAGTCACTAGTGATTATTGAAATGCAACTATACAAGCTATACTAAAGTAGATAGGTACATGATATTTCGCCGGAATGAAAGAGCACGCTCTTTGGTGGAAAGCCTTAAGACTTCATATTTCGGACTAGATTGTTTTAATTAGTAATTACAGAATAGGGTATTTGAGGTACCTAGACAAGCAGACAGGAGATGGGCAGAGAATTTATCGCCGTCGGCCACCAGCAAGTTGTCACTGTGATTTGCGCCTAGCGTCTTTGAGACACGAGACAGAGAACGAATGAGCGGCCGCTGGGCGCTGGGTACCTGCGCTGCTTGCCAAATGCTAGAACAATGGAGATCGGAAGATGAAACGACGACTACTCAGTCTAGGGCTCTAGGCCGTAGCGAAGGTTGGAGGCAAACGTTTGGCCTTCTGGGCTGCTGCCTGTACAGTATCTGGTTGCAATTTACATTCACGTAATGTAATCATGTTCCAGGTCTAGGAAGCAGAATATGGGCCGAACTGCTGGGCTGCCAACTCGTTGGGGTCCAACATATTTTCTACTGGGGTCCAACGTGGTGAAAAATCAATGGCTATAGCAGGCTACGGTAAAGTCGTCGGTGTTGGCCGACCCCGATGCCTTCACGTAGCTTCGCCCTTGAGTGTCACAGAATATATATATATATATATATATATATATATATATATATATATATATATATATATATATATATATATATATATATATATTATACGCGCTTATTTATTTATATGGCTAATTTATTGAGAGAGAAAAATACTATATCATAAACCGGTTTATAATGACAACCGACCCGAGCTTACAAAAGCTAGCTACTCACCTCTCGAGAGAACCACCAGCCGAGTAGCCGACACACACGAAATGACGAAAACGACCACTTCTCCCACGCTTCGACCGGGCGGCCGACAGCTCTCCAAAGGCCCACGTCGCCCTCCCGCGATTACGTACGTGGCTGGGAGCTGGGATACATGCATGCGCGCGCACCCTTCCGGCCTTCCCTACTTGACGGCCAATGCGGGAGGAAATTGTGTCCCTTGATTTTTGATCGGACGGCTCTGGGAGCAACCACGTGTACCGGAGTACCTCGGACTACATACATTGAACGTATGGTGTGGTATAGGTGATGTATCCTTGGCATGTAGATTTGAACGTATCAGGTACTTGTTTTAGATAATGACGTATCAGGTACATAGGCCCGTAGGAGTAGGTCAGTATGTATGTGTTTTTTCAAAAAAAAAAATGATGTCCGTGTGTACTCAGAGGACGGTAGCGTCTACGTAATTTGCCCGTACGTATATACTGCAACGACGACCGTAGTTCCTTTCAAGAAAGCTGAAGGTATAAAACATCTCTTGGTGAGGTATTGTAATCGGAAATGTTCAAGAATAATTCTTTGATACAGTACTATTACAGAGATTAGTTTTTGACCAAAAGCATAAAGACCAGGGGAATTGTTTAGTGGTTTGTTATGCATCCTAATCCAACTGATTTCTGGCGAATCTTTTCAATTAGTTGGTTTGTCACATCGATCCTGGCATTTAATTAAAGAATTTGACGACTACTGTTGCTAGCTGTTGAGGCTTTCAGTGGATCAGCGTGTGCACTACTATATATGTACAGAGTAACATAGGGGATATCACAATTGATTCGCCCTTTATTCTTCGGCCGGGTTGATTAGAAATTGTTGCATGAATAATGAAGTGTATCAAGCATTTTAGCCTAAAAAAATACTGCTGCACTTCTTTGTGTGTCTTGCAATCCTTTTCACTTCAGGTATAAACCAATTGTCAGGCACCATATTCAGAGTTTGGCCACGATCGAGCTGCAGCCCTGGCGGTCGCAATTCAATGGAGACAGCCGAAACGATCTGAAAGTTAAAAAAGAAAGTCAGAAAGATTGAGAGAAACGTTTGCCCTAACTATTTCAGTCTTTGCTTTCTGTATCCAAACAAGAGAAGTATATATATTGTCTAATGATTGTTCATTCTTGTTCGGTACACAGATAATTAATGCTAGAAGGACATTGCACTTGAAAATTTGTCTTCCAACAGAAGAAACTGTGCGAAATTAAAATTCAAAGCAATCTTATATTCCAACTTAATAATCCTCTAGAAACTAGCACACGTTAATGCACTGTCATCAGAACTTGAGAATATATAGACACATTTGATTTGATACTCAATCTATTTTGCATGCATGGATTATTCAGCTGAGTGTTCGTGGCACACTCTCGTGCACACGTGGCGGTTTCTATGCACGTTTACATTATCATACTTGGAAAAGATGATATCAGTATATCCATTTTATTTTTTTGAGGCTTTTAAAAATATTCTAAAAATCAAGAGATCCTTTCTATCTGTATTTCCAATTCAGGGCACCCCACTGGCACAAGCATTAATTAATTGTAAAATTTTCAAGGTTGTATTGTATATGTCGATTTGCCGAGCGAATAACATAGCGCTGTCCGTTCTTGTTCTCTTCTCATCTCCCATTTTTTTTGTTGGCAGCCACTATGTGCTGAGCTTGATCTTGATCGCGCACCTATTGACGTAGAAAAAGAGGCGGAGGCCACAATAGAGACAAAAGACAAATCCGAATCCCCTCCCCGCAATAATCTACAAAACCAAAAGTATTGGCCAGGCCACCCTCCAAATCCTACCTTCTCCATCCGCTCCGCCATTAGAGAGGAGTCGCGAATGCCGAGAGTGAGAGAGACAAGGTAGCGGCAGCGGCAGCGGTTGGCGCGGCCACAGTGGTAAAGCCTCCGTCGGCGAGGAGCGCTGCATGCGCTGTTGCCGGGCATGGTTCTGCTTCCGCGTCTTGAATGAAGGATTTCAAGGAAGGGAGGATCGGAAAGGGCAACTACGATTCGGTTGCATTCATACGGTTCTCTAAAAAAGGCAGTTTTTTTGGCTGTGAGTATCCGCTGGTTTGCTATTTATTTATTCATTCTCGGTTTCGGAGGCCGAAAATTCGATCTTCACGCTGGTGTCAGTGTTTTGAGGCCTTGAGGGGTTCCTGTGAAGAACCAGAGGATCAGAAGGGGGAAAAAAGTGGGTTTCTCGTCGGTTTTCCTTGGTTTTGGGGTTCTGAATTCTGAGATTGTTCTGAGGCAGGGGTCTGTCTTGCTCATCAGATTCCGCAGTTACTGGAGATGAAGATACAGAGGTTGGTGTGCTCAGCGTGTTTGTTTTGGTGAAGAAGACTAGCTGGAATAAAAGGAAGAAAAAAATTCCGCTTCCTTTCTTTTGTGTGTTCTGATCCTTCTGAGATATCCCTTCCTGCCGCTTAAGAGTTTCTTTGTTTCCGACTTGGTATCGGCATCTCGTGGAAACCGAGGAAGCACGGCAATTTCAAGGTCCTTCGTTTGCTTGGGGCTATCAGAACATCCTAACCTGTTCCTGCCTGCATTTTTTTTTTGTTCTGAAGACTCAAAGATTGGATTGAGTGATCTCTGAAACCAAATCTTCCTTTGGTGGTTTTTGGCGTTTTGGGCACTGTCTGTGAAGTGTAGCAGGACCGCCTCTGCTGTTATACTTGGTGAGTTGTCTGATCAAGTACCGGTAAAAGGTACTCGCCAATTTGGATGATTCATTCATCTGAATGGTCGATATTTTACTATGTCAATGTAGGCAATGCTTAATCCGTTTCAGGCTTAATGATACACTGAAATCTGTTCTTAGCAGTTCTCTGCTTATTGGAGATTTTTCAGAGTAACAGGAATTCGAGGGGTAAAGATTTTTCGTCAATTTGGCCCTTTGGATGCTCCGAATTGTTCCATTTATCTAATTCTAGTTGGTGTTTGCAGTTCTTATGACATCTTGTCTCATATGTTTACACAAAGGAAAATCATGCGGGTAGAACGTACTTTAAGTGCAAATGCATGTGACATGAGTATGTCGAAATTGGCATTGCATAAGTGGGGTCCAACTGGTTTTCTTGTCTCTTCCATGTTTTGTTTTCTTCATAGAACTGTACTTTTATGAAGCAGAGTTTGAAACCATTCATTAGAGCTTGGAAGATATGAGCAAATATGAGTAGTGGGGACTTGTTAGTGCAGAAAATGGGAAACTTTTTTGCGTTTGTATTTCTAATGCATCGTTCATACTACTACAACTTTATTCTTACTCGCTGCATGCATTTATTGCTTTCAGATAATTAGCTTGTCTAAAGCAAGCCCTTAGAAGGAAAGTTATCTGACCATGTTCTCAGCTATCATGGCAAAGAAGAGTTACAAACAGCATTCCAAATCTGAGAAAATCCAGGTGGGCTGTATGTCTGGGCTGATTCGCTTGCTTGACTTCCGTCGCAGTCCAAAACTTCTTTCAGATGGGACAGGTGAGGGCATTCACCAACGTTCAGTTTTTATGTTAACAAGATGAAGATGTTAACTGCAATATAGCAGTATGAGCTAATTTTAATTGAAATAATATGAGATTCATGATTTCTCTAACAGTGATTTCTGTGCTTCATGCAGTCAAAAGAGATCCAAAAGGTTTTGAAGATATCCATGGAAACAAATCTGCTATTGTAAGTTTTCAAGATGAAACCAAAACTATTGTATCTAGTATTTCTTATAGTACCTACAAAATTCTTCTGCTCGCTCTAACTAACAACTGATAATGAAAAAGAAGTTGCAAGCTCATTACATATCTAACCTTCTAGGGTATGTATTGAGCTGAAAACCTTTTTCCATTTATAAAACTGGTCATGATGCTGCTTGTACTACAAGCTCAGACTGGTATAATGCGTGCTTCTGTCAGCATAATTTTGTCTTAGGCTAACATTTTTAGATAATGTTGACCAACACTAACTGTTCTGTTGATTCTGAACTTTGGTTTATAAAAAAATTGATATGTATTTTCCTAAAACACAAAATATTCCTAGTAAACAACAGTATATAGTATTACAAGCCTCCTCCTTAACGCAATGATTCGCAACTCTCCTGCATATTCGAGAAAAAATAGTACTACGAGTCTCCGGATATGGAAGTTTAGGATTTTTTATAGGCTTTTCAAATTTAAGACACCTCTCTACGAAAAAAATAAGTAGAATCGGAAAGTTTTTAATGCCAAATATAAAGTAATAAAGTTATGATGCTACACAATATTTGAGTATGGCATGCAAGATAACATAAGATTTTCAAACCTTTGTTCGAGCTGATGAGTGCAGCAATATAAACTCGAATTTATTGTCTTTTTTTCTCAGAATGGAAAAGACCACAGGGTTGAATTGATTTATGCTGGTAGATCAAGTATTAGATCTTTGATGGAAGAAGAGATGGCCAGCAGCACACAGCCCTTGAAGCAAGCACAAAGCAATCTAACTGGGATATGCTCTGAAGATATTGATCTAAACTTGGCTGCAAGTCTCAGGGAAATCTACAGATCTCGTACTGAAGGCCAAGAAATCAGGAATTCAATTAAGTCAGGTTGCAGTTCCATTTCGACTGACAAAGAGAACAATACTGACACTCCTCATTTCTATCAGATCCCATCTAGTATCCAGAGAGCTCTAGAAGATGTCGCTGAAGCAGTTATAAGACATCAATCTGCAAACAAAAAATACATAAACAACGGTGATGAAACTAGGTCCAGAGAATTCGTTGATGCCCTACAGCTACTGAGCTCAGACAAGGAATTATTTCTGATGCTTATGCAAGACCCAAGCTCTAGGTTGTTAGAATGTCTCCAAAACCTTTACATGTCACTAGGAAGTACCAAGTTAGACTCTGAAGAATATGACGAAGAAACTGAGTTGCAAGGTATGACCAATAGTCTAGAGCAGCCAGTGACTTCTCCAAGTAAGGTGCAAAGAAGCCATAATTCTTTCTTGAAGGAGGATAGGTTGGTCATGAGGAAACCACCAAAGTTAAATGATAGTTCTCGTGGCCTTAGCAGAATAGTAATCTTGAAGCCAAGTCCTGCAAGAGGTCATAGCAGTCTTATCTCAGGTAGCGCAACTTCGTCACCACTATCAAATCATATTGATTTGCAAGTTCAGGAAGCCAGTGATAAACATGATTGCCATTTCTCACTTAGAGAGCTTAAAAGGAGGCTAAGGCTTGCCATTAGCGATAATCGGAAGGATCACCAGTTAAACTCCACGAGTAGTAATTTTCATAAAGCTGACGCTGATTCTGGCAAACTGCTTCCAGTCACAAGTATGTCGGAGACAGAGAGTCTGGGAAGTACAGATTCTTCTGACAGGGCTAAGGAACCATCTATTGTTGACAAGAAAACAGTCACGGAAGATAGTGTAAGTGGGATGAGAAATGATGTCGCTTATGGTGTCGGTGTCAGCTCTTTCTCCTATGAAAAAGCTAAGATGTATATAATTGAGAGATTAAATGATCAAGGCGAAGAAAGTTATCAAATTGTACAGAAATCTGAATCTTTTGAGAGATTAATTTCACTGCCCGAGAATGATAGATTTTCTCCAAGTGATTGCCCTCGAGAGGAGAAAATTAGCATGGCACATGAAGCTACAGAATCGTTGAACATGCATACTACTGAGCAAGAGGATGGTTCAGCAAGCCCTTACTCAACAAGGCTGTACCAGGAGACAGAATCAGCCGACACTAGCAACTTAGGTACACAAATGTTGATTGAGCCCACGATAGATCATGGTAGCCATCCACAAAATGAGGGCGCTATCTCACAGGAGTTGATCTGTGAAGGTAACATGTTCATGTTATTGTACTGTATGATAGTTGGAGGCCAGAATTTTTTATTCCTTAATCTAAAAAAAATGTACTGTGAGATATGCTTCTATTAGATTTTTTTTTCAGCTTTCTTGTTCTGTTCAAAATATTTCTTTTTTTTTTGCAGGGGTTAAGATCATGCTAGATACAATGGAGATATCACCGCTCTGTGCTGAGACTGGAACTTCGCAGGAAGGAGTGGGAGAGACAAATCCAGACGAAGTAAGACATATTTTGTAGCAAATTCAATAAAGCTGATGACATCTGTGTTTAACACTGTTTATTTTTTCCTTTTTCCTCCTCCGCTGAAGTGTTCATTGGAGGAACCACAATCCATACCAGAACTAGCCCTGTATTCTCCAGATGGCTCCGTTAATGAACATGAGAACCATATTCCATCAGAAGTTGTTGAATTAGTCAAACCATCTGTATTGACATTACCATACTCGCTGGAAAATACTAATGACAAAGAGGAGAAATTGAGTCCACAATCTGTTCTTGATCCCATTGTAGGAGAAGTTACTGGTCCTAGACACAAAACTCCAAAGCGAGGTATTGAACTCAAAACAAAAAATTTCTCATCTGGTGTCTTTCATAACCTGAACATAATAGAGTAAAGCTTTATGTTGTTGCAGATGAATTCTCCATGCCTACTTCCAGAGTGCTGTTCAAAGATGTTGACGCTCCTTCAACATCCGCAGCTTTGTGGAATGGACCACAAGTAGCCATTTTGGATGACAAAGCCACAAGGGTGTCCTTCATCAAGGCCGTGCTAGAAGCTTCAGAATTGCTGTCTGAGGAAAATTCGCAGAGATGGTACACAGAAGAGCCACTGCTTGATGTATCTGTATTGGCTGAAGTAGGAAATTCGTACTGCCTGACAGACGATGCAGTGCTTTTGTTTGACTGTGTGGAAGAAGTTCTTCTCAAGATAAGGGACAAGTTCTTTGGTACCGACCCTTGGGTTAATTTTCTGAAACACAATGTACGACCAGCTCCAGTAGGAACACATCTCGTTCAAGAGGTGGCTGAGGGAATCGATTCTCTTGTCGGTAAAGAATTTCCAAACACTTTAGAACAGGTGATGATGAAAGACTTGGACAGTGGGTCGTGGCTGGATCTTCGAGGCGATACTGAAAGTGTTGTAGTTGAGTTGTGGGATGGTTTGTTTGATGACTTACTGGAGGAAGTGGTTTTTGATTTGTGGCTTTGATACTGTACTGCTTTGTAGTAATCCATGCAGGCATATTCGACTAGTACTGACATGGGGTTAATAGATACAGAAACCTTTTGTGAAAGGATAGGGAAAAGTGAATTCGGCAGGTTGCCAAATATTGTAGAGCTAGGCACTTCAATATAGTTGATTTCCATTTTCTTTTGAATTTGTGCTTATTGTAAGTCAGATCCTGATTGAATGTTGATCTTCACCTCAGAATTATTCGATTTCTTTAAGCTCCCAGGCCCCGTTCACTTCGCTGAAAAAACAAGACAAAATACTGTTCCGGCTGATTTACTGTGAGAGAAAAATATTGTTCCGAGTGAAAAAACAAGCTGAAAAGTACGGATTATAAGAGAAGCGAACAGGGGTATGGAAACATCAAAGGGCGGGCCTGGTGCAAGCGGTAGAGTCTTACCGTCTGTGACCGGAAGGTCCCGGGTTCGAGTCGCGGTCTCCTCGCATTGCACAAGCGAGAGTAAGGCTTGCCACTGACACCCTTCCCCCGACCCCGCACAGAGAGGGAGCTCTCTACACTGGGTACACCCTTTTTAGAGGTATGGAAACATCAAAATAAGTGCAGCTGTATATAAAGTACCCCAGTATCTATGGTAAATCTTTTGTTTTCATTGTGAGCATGATATTGTTTTCCTTTGTTTATGAGATGCACTATTGCTTCTCTATTTCAAGAATTACATGAAACATTTTGTGAATATATAGCTATGAACTTGTGCCGGTCACTCCGTCAGGACATGCCCATCCGCTGTATCAAAAGATTCACAAGTCACTACTTCAGTTCAGCTGATACTGCAATCAGCCAATCACACAGCTGTGGCATCTGACATCCATGGTGAATTGGTGATGACAGAGGAAAGAGCATGCAAAGGTACTGAGGGACCATTGTGATGAAAATTAAGACATGGCTGCCTGCTAGGTGAGTAGAGTACTGTATTTAACTGCTCGTGCTATCATCCATTGATAGATGGTACTACTGCTACAAGGTATGGCATAATGTACATTCTGTTGATGGATCATGGATATGGACCCCTTATTTTTGGTTTCCCGGATCAGACAGGAAGGATGAACAAATGATCACTCATGCTATCTTTCTGGCGGCTTCATCTGCGAAGAGAACATCATCTATACAGGTTACGATGTTGTACGCCAGGCTCTCCAGCACCCTCGAATAGCTCTCTAGTATTGCTTGCCCAACATCCTGCAAGATTCATTCACATCACAAGCTCTGTGAGAAACTTCGATGCAGATGCTTCTGTTGCTGCATTGAGGTTTGCTCACCTTGTTGTACTGGATCTTGCTGGCGTCGAGCGTGGTCTGCGAGAGGCCGGGGAACCGCTGCTTGAGGCAGAGCAGCACGTCCTCGGCGCGGCTCGCCAGCATCACGTTCTTGTCGGACTCCATCAGGTCCTTGACCGCGCTCCATGGTGACCTCGAGTGGCTCTGGCTCGCCTTCCGCCGCCACACGTGCATCGCCGCCTCCACGCGGTCCGCTGCCTCCAGGGCCTCGTGCTCCGACGAGATCTCCAGGCAGTCCAGGAGGTACTCCGGCGAGAACTTGCCCGGGAACGACATGTGCCGGTAGATCAGGTCACCCACGCTGGCCCGCCCACACTGAAACGAGAAATCAGAATATAGAATACATTTTCAGATTCAGTCATTCAGCCATGCTGATGACTCGCAATTCTTGGGATCCAATGATCTGACGGTACCTTGGGTAGTGCTTGGTTGTACAGGTCGGGGATCCGTATCTCCGCAAGAACGGCATTGTTGATGGCCATGGCCGCCTTGTGGATCTGGCTCGCGCAGTCGTGCTTCTGCTGCAGGTCTCGCCGCGCCGTCTCCGTCAGCCCGGGCTTGGTGACGCACGGCACGGGCAGCCACCACTTCTCCTCGCCGCGGTGGCTCAACGGACGGCACGGCGTCGCGACGGTATCATCTTTCGGCCCCTTGTCATTGACGTACCAGATTTCAGTCTTCTGAAAGCTGTCCAGGATCTCCTGCGAAGGCGCAGAAGAACAGGTTAGCCCACACTACTAGTAAATTTGAGCAAGCAACAAATTTTATGGCTCAAGCTCATGGCATGGCATAGTACGAAGAATCTTTGATCTTACAAGCAACATGTCGTCGAGTTTCTCGAGGGCGGGGAGGTTGACGTAGATGTCGGATCGCGGTCGGGTCGCCATCACCTGACAGAATCAAAATGCGTCAGTGACCCAATGGCTGCACAGAATCAAAATGCTTCAGACAATCATCCCATGGTGATTCAGTTGTCACCTCTAGGGTGGTGCCGTCGGACAAGATTTCCTTGGAAGGGAAGAACTCGACGATGTGGTCGCAGACGGAGAGGAGGCAGTCCATCTCCCGCCGCCACATGGACTTCTTCTCCAGCGGCAGGGGCTCTAGCCTGTGGCAGCTCCCGAAGACAGTCGCTGTAAGTGTAAGCAGAGGAGGCGATGAGCATTAGCATTAACCTATGAGTATGTTCATACTTCCTAAACAGGCGATCTGAAGATGAAGTTGGAAGAAGGGTAAGCACGCTGACCATAGAGGTTGGTGATGGCATTGGAGATGGCCACGGAGGTCGAAACCCCCTTGCCGCTCCCCGACATGTCCTCGCCCAAGAGAAGCTTGGAGAACCTCTCCTTGATCAGCTGCAGCTCTGCGAATTCACAGCAATTTCTCGCGTCACCTCACCGAGCAACAAAACTTGGAACCAGAAGACATTCACAGAAAACAGGGTCCTACCACCGTCGCCGGGCTTCCCGTCACGCGCGCCGGCACCGCCACCGCCGCCGCCGCGCCGCGTGGTGCTGAGCCTCTTGAGCAGCGCTGCGGCCGGCGGTGGCGCCCTCGTGGCAAGCGTGCACACCGGCCAGCGCGGGTACGGCGAGGATCCGTACGGGCTCCCGGGCTCCCCGCTGCACTCGGAGGACACGTCGGAGGACGGCTCCCGGCGGTGGCGGCCCCGTGGCGGGTGGTCGAGGTCGTCGAAGTCGGCATAGTCGGACTGCGAGCGCGCGTCGAGCTCGGAGCCCTCGTCGCTCGTCGACGACGGGGTCTCCATCCTGGCATCGACCGACCAGACCAACCGGCGCCGGTGGTGCGGTGTGTGGTCAGTGGTGGCCGGCCGGTGCACGCGGTTGTGCTCGCGCAGTGGCGGACAGGGCAGGCAGCACGCGGCGGGAGTGGCAGGCAGGGCGATCGAGCGGTGAGCGCAGGGAATGGAATGGAATGAGCAGCAGCTGCTGCAGACAGCAGGCAGCAGCAGTAGTTGCCGTGGCGAGCGGAGGCCCACGACGGCGGTGAGGTACGCCCGGCCCCTACTTTACGCTGGAAGGAAAGGGAAGCGTGCGATTCCCTCGCTTTTCTCGATGCCGATGATGCCCCTCCCCTCCCCTGCGCGCGCGCTCTGCTTATCCCCTCTGTCCACCCGCCAAAATTTTCTTTGAAACGTGTACTAAACACTAGCATCGGCAGGAGTAGGCTCAGATCCAACACACTCTGCGATTAGTCTGCGTCTGCAGTACTACATTGTCTGACAGGCTGACACAATTAGCAGTCGCAAAGCAACAGGCCGGGGCTGGCTCACACTCTGCCGACAGACGATCATGGGCTCCGTTACACAAAAGCACGCTGATGGGTGATCAAGAGCACCATTTGTCTCCTTAAACAGCGCACGGACCATGGGATTCCAATGGCTCACAGTACTCCATGCCTTCTGTCATGATCAGCACTATTGCACCGAGCTAATCAGACGACCTGCGACTGTGACTGTCATCAGTAATCAAGCACGGCATTGACGACGCACTGTGAGTGCAGTAGAATAGCCACGGCGCTCTGCCCGAGCTGGCATTTCGGGTCCGGCAGGGGGGCTGGAGCTGGACGAGGGCGACGGACGCGCTGCCGCTAGTCTCTACAGACTGCTAGTGCTACAGGAAAAAGAAAAAAAGCCCCAATGGGCATGTGGCAGCGGGGGCCATGTCGCGCGGGCCTCCTCTGGTCTGAGGTCTGACACAAAGTGATGCCGACCATGCCGGTCGTCAGAATCATGGGGTTATCTCCGGTAATAACATCTAAAATACAAGACTTATTCGTTTTTGATAGGGCTACAGACAAAATGTTCAATATACATTCGGCATTTTCTCCAACAACAAGACCAAAAAAGAATATATTCGGCATTTTCTCCAACAACAAGACTCAAAAAAGAATCATTTCTGCAAATGGGTTTCCAGGAGAGATGAGGCATATATTTAGGTTGTGCCTCTCAGTCAACCCAAAATAGGTCTCCCGTATATGAACTCTGTTGGAGGCTGATTTTAGGTCTCTTGCTACCTATTTTAGGTTTTGATGTCCATAAGTTCTTTGTTGGAGACAGTCTTAAGGACGCCAAAGGCGAAAGGGGAGGGCCGCCGATCATGACCGGCGGTCTGCGTGCGCCGGGGACCCCCCACGGATTGCCACCGCAAAGGGGCAATTAGTGCCGTCGTCCCCTCCCTGGCATCCATGGAAATGGACGGAACGGAAGGAGGCGTCGCTTTCTTCTTCATGTCAATCACCATGTTCGCTGGTTGGTCTTTAGTCTTTGGTTTGGTTTGCCGTTCGACTTCTTTTTTTTTTGTTTAAAACATTGTTGGTGATTGAATAAATTACAAAAACCAACCAACGAACAGGTGAATTTGTGTTGTTCATGACTTCATTCTGCCCGGCGCTGGCTGAGAAAATTAAATGGATCCCAAATTCTTAAGAGAGGAAAAGGAACCCTAATCCAAAGGCTCTCTCTCTCTCTGTCTGGAGTCTGGTACTCTGGTGAGAAGGTAGTAGAAAAGTACAGGAAAGCGGGGCATTTTGGGGTTTCCACATTTGCTCGCAGGTCGCAGATGACAAGCTGTGACAGTACGGGCAGAGTACTGGCTGGCCGTGGCCCGTGGGGAGTTCATGCAGAGGAGAGGCTGCATAACTTAATCAACTACTAGCAGTCT